CATTTATATTTATCATTATACTTTATATTACCCTGACTGCCAACAGTGTATTCACTGCCGTGCATTAGTTGGGCTGAGTGTTTATTGAACCTTTTTTTGGTACCAATTGAACTGTGTACAGAACTGAGTTGTGGCATGTAAAAGTCAAAAAGCAGCCAGAGAAAATAAACAAATCAGGTGGCAAAAAACCAAACAGCATTACAGACAAAGGTTGGGATCAGGGAGGAAAAACATTAGTAAGCAGGTTGGAAAGCAATGACTGCACGAGTACAAAAACAGTTATCTGGCAAGTGACTACAGGAATGGGCCTGATATGAGATGATTCACATGGCGGGAAGACGTATGTAACAGTGGGGCAAATGTAAGTGGCAGAGTCTGCAATGAAAGGCGATGTTAACGACAACAAGAGGCTGGTAAAAACTGAACCTAAGCAAAGGTGGCCAATGTGAAGTAAGCAAAGCAAATATTTTTGCTTAATTTATTCTCCAGTTATAAGTATTACACGAGATAAATACACCATGATAACTTGAGAAATAGTGAAGCACATGTAGCCTATGATTTGTTCGTACAAACATATGAGACCACTTTGGAGTCATTTTAGAGTTAATGGGGTGCTGAGATAATAGGGCTGTGCTTAAGTACAGTTTTTTATTTTGCATGTGCATGAGCGTGCATAAACAAACTTAAATAGTTATATTTGTAACCTGGTCACATGGGGTGCCAACCTCACCAAAGTGCAGTGTTTGATAGTGTTCCTTATAGACGTGGGTACACTGTCATGCTATTTGTTTAATTAGCTGCCCAAGTTGAGTCATTAATGAGAATGTGCAGGTGTTGAATAGGTGGTGCAACAGTGTTAATGCACAGCCTGACAGGATTAACTAGTAACCATTTAGCTTGGCTTGTAACAGTCACTTCACCATGAAGATTCAGAAATGTTAATTTTGTTTAATTCAGTTCTGGTACTTATATTTCTGCTGCCTTTGCCAAGGAAGTTAGCTCAGTAAAAGACTTATTTTAGAATTAGGTAGGTCGACCTTGTTGCCATATGCTGCTTTCCCAAGTGATTTGTCCAGCTGCACACATACCCATGAACAGTCTATGCTGGTGACATCACTGTGTGTGTCTGCGTGCATTTGTTTGTATGCATTTGGATGTCACTTCATCTTGCAGAAAGTGCAAGATGCAACAGTTATGCTGTTATCGTTTCAGCATATTTTAACATATTTGCCTGTATGTGTGTGTCTTGGTGGTTTGGAGTTAAGGTGGCAACCATGAACCTTACATCATGTCATTGATTTTGGTTCTCCATCTCACAGCTGTTCTCTTTTGATTCACTCTTTTCTCTGCCACAGCAGTTTTTAGCAAAAAAGTCTTGATAAACCTTATGAAGGATTGTCCAGGATCCAGCTGGGGATCTTTGTTTCGTGTTATTCCCTGTGTCTCTTCCCTCTGACTTCCTGACATCTCTCTACTGTGCCTCTTTATTAAAGGCAAAAATGCTAAAAGAAAAAGGGAAATGTATGGCTAGTCTGTTGCTTCTGCCTGCTGTATTCAGAGTCAGACTGACTACAAAACACTATTATTACTGTGTACAAGGATGCCTGAGTGGTTACCATGACAACTGACATATATGATGTGAAGAGGTGTCGAAGAAACACACAGATCAGACCTGGTCACATACTTATGTTCACTGTGTACTGTGAGCCCAAATGCACAGAGAGCTCGGCTTTAACTGGCAGCAGGCAATGTTATTGAAAGACTAAGTGATACATTAGATCGTGTGTCCACTCTGAATGAGAGGTGATACATGATCCATGTTCCCTGTAATTCCTGTACCAGACAAGGAGTCTGCAGATTTGACTCCAGTCAATTACTGTAGCAGCTAATTTGACACAGTAAACCACTGTGAGGCAGACAGCGCTGAAATCTGCTGCTAAAGTGATGGAATCAAATCCTCCATCATTTCACCCTGAAATGTCCCCACATTCAGCTCTCAGCAGGCTTTCTAGCTCTATGGTAATGCCATATTATTTCCTCCTTTGCTCCCAGCAAATAAAAGTCAGAAGTAGTATGACTTTGTCACTCTAACATAAACATAAATATGTTTATGGTCATATGCTGAAACAACAGATGCTCTTATTTTAATTTGGATAACTGGGGCATTTATGCTCCTTAGAAGGTGCTTCCACTGGATTTTGGTGAACCTATAACCCCCTGACTTCTAACACATCAATACTGACCCATTTAAAAGCTTTCAGTTGTGTACATAAAACAACAAATTGAGTGTCCCTCTTGCCCTTGTAAGTAGCTGGAAGAGCTACCTGATATGGTCTCCCAAGATAAACTACTCCATTAAGAGGAGCCAACGAGCAGTTAAACATCTCCAATGAGCCAAATGTATAAGGCACACAGGAACAAGACAGGGATATTTTACAAAGCAAGCTTAGGCAGGGAGCTGCACTTATTTTGCTAGTTTTGGCTAATAACTGTTTCACAAAGCCAGATTGGATGTACTCCATTTAAATGACTGTGGCAACTTCAGCTTCCAGCAAAACCTGAGCAGGAGCAATGCTAACATTATGACAAACCAATCTGACTGTTCTTACAGTATGTGCTTTGGAAAGCTGTCCACTAAAAATTACAACACCCAGTCAGCATGCAATCACATGTTCACAACTTGTTTTAGCTTTGTTCAGCATCAGAAGGCGTGTAGTTGTCAGGAAGCCCAGAGAGTTGTTAAAAACCTATTTTTGAACTTTTTATATTTTCTATGCAGATCCTTTACTTAAAACTAGAAATGACACACTACAATATAGAGTATTAAGTGAAGGTCCAGCATACAAATTTTACTTTTGTAAAAGTACTTGTGTATAATCAGCAGACTGTACTAAAAGTATTCATTATGGTAGAAGCCCCTTTCATGATGTTACAATATATTGTTATCTGTGTTATACTAATGCATTATTGTACATATATTGATGCTTTAATATTTTTGCAGCAAGTTCAGCACTGCAGCTGGTCAAGCTAGAGCTATATTTAACATCTTTATGTGAGTTTAATGGGTAACTTAATTTGTAATTTTATAAGATAAATTGTTTGTATGTAAATTCTGAATCTGCAAAGTAGCCAGTATGAAATGCAGCGGAGTGTTGGTATAGTGCAGGGAATGGAAATACTGAAGTAAAAGTACAAAAAATAAAGTTGCATTCCTCTACTCGTATATTCCATTAGTTGACACTGTCCAGCACATTAAGCAGGGTTGCATTTTCTGAAAACATTTGAGAAACAGATTATAGATGAAATAGCCCCTGAGGAATGGCTGATACCTGGCATGTCTGCCTAATGCAGCCAAAAATATAAATGGACAGTTACTCCAGTAAAAATGGTATATAAATCTTTACCATCTTACGTTACGCATCATATTGTCAAACCTTAATGTATGGTGGAAGCTCCAGATTTCAACTCCTGACATTCTGTTTTCCTGGAGGGATTCACAGAGCGGAACACCAGGTGGTGAGAGGGGACATCGCCCAGCTGACAGCTTGGACAAATTTCTGAGTCAGAGTGAAATCACACTTCACTAGTGGAGTGAAGATTAGATTTCAGTCTCATGTCAACCTCACCTTGATGTAAAGTTGCCAAGCTTCATACTATGCTGCCTGGCAGAGACATTTACCACTGTATCTGGCAGCCTGCACTATAGCCAGAGACTGCACAGAAATACTGGGTTGATGGATTAGTGTTCATCAAGAAATGGTCACTACAGTAGAAACTACTAAAACTGCCACCTGACAACTGAGCTGTTTGTATGAAAAGGAGCTCATATTTTACTAGAAAGCACATTAGCAAGTATACATTTACACTGACTGTACCAGACAAACATGAAAAAACATGTTACAGTACAAAAGGTACAAATCTACTCTACCTTCTGAGATGCACAGTACAAATATGCCTATGAGTGCAAACTGACCAGCAAAGTGATTTTCAGACATTTATGCAGACACCAGTCCCCTTGCCACTCTGTGCCCTAGATGAGTCCTTGCTCTCTGTTCTTCCCAGCACACTTTCTGCACCTATTTTGGATTCGAAACCAGGACAGACAGCGGTGCTCCCTCAGCCCATCTCATGTCAGCTTTATACAGTTTTTGCCAAGTTTTTATGTCATAAATACAAGATTCCTAAAAATATAATTCAGTTCCTCTCAAAATGAATTAAGCATAAGTATTCTTTCTTAATAAAGTGTATTAATTCGGTTGTTAACATGCATCTGGAGTTTCCTTTCTTATTGAAAACCTTTCCTTAGCAGCCCTTTTATAGGACAATGAGATTTAGGTTAAAAAACTGCCCTGCTGTACAAAATGGCATGAGTGCGTTTGAGTAATTCCATGAACTACAAATATGTCCAAAAGCAGCATTGCCGTCTGTGACAATTCGGTCTGTGTCGTGGATTTTAGAGAATAATGATCATTCTACCGATCGAGCCTAACGTAACGGGAGAGGTTATTTTTAGCCTGCATGAGGATGCGCTCAGCAGTGATGGCAATGGCGTCCTCCCCCACCTACACCATGATGACGCCGCGCTGTTACGCAAAACCAGGGGTTCACCTTTTGCAGACCTCTAGCTCTGTCACTGCTGGCGTCAAGTTTTGGCACGAAATAGGAGGTAATGCACTGAAATATTACAGTATTTACACATCTGGGAACTGGTCGAGGAAGTACCGACGCATGCCACCTTTTAACTTATGTTTTAGCTTTAAATCCTCATACCGTCTCGGTAAAGACATTAGTATAAACTTGGTGTTGGACGAACCCAGCAGGGAATGAAACAGGTAGCGGGCATCCTGGTTTATTTGATATGAACCCAACCAGGGTCGCAGCCCACTCACCTCAGCACGGCTCTCCACAATAACACGGTCATTTAACTGCTACAGTGGGTTCATGCCATACATTGACAGAATGAAACCACAACATGCCATTACAGAGAGTGGACACTTAACTATTTGTACAGGTGTTGGAGACACAAATCGAGACATTCCCCTTCCACCTCGTCCTCAGACACCAGGTCCGACAAGGGGCGCATTGGCGGCGGGTCGCTCTCCTGCAGAGGCATTCTCATCTCCCGAAGAAAGAGCTCCAGGAACCGTCGGAAGGTTTTCTCCTCTGCTGCAGAGCCGGCCATCATTTCTCATTCCTGGACACACAGAGATACAGCTCCTCCCGTCAGTACACTAACTTGCCGGGCTAAGAAGAGAAGAGTCAGTAGTCTAACCTAACTAGTTGAACTGTCAGTGCACTACCAGACGACCTGAATAAATGTGTACTACCGGAGGAGCAGGGCCGTTGACTACCGGTGTGTCTGACAACAGCGGACCTGACAAGATGAGTGGACCGTGGCAGCTACGATGATACTACTGGACGAGCTGTCAGAAGCTGGACTGAGCCCCCATTCACAGCCGAGCGGGAGCGCGCAGCGCTTTATCAGGGATTTCAGATGATCAGAGGGTGGTGACGTCAGAGAGAGCGCAGGACGCAACGGTCTACATTTAGGTCGTGAACGCGCACGTAATGTTTCCTCCAGTCGTCCGACGTCTGAGACCTTTTTTGTAGAAATGTCATATAAAGTGGCTTAACCCTTATTTTCCGATTCATAAATGAGCCTTATACGTCTGCGCTATGATGTAGTTGTTTTTTCCTACACATGAACATTTAATAGTAATAGACTATATTTTGATGGCTGTATATTCAAAGGCTATAAGTCTATCCACAAACGTGAATTCTCCCCACCTGTTACTGCCTTCCTTTCAGAAATACAAAGTCTGTTGCACAGACTGAAAAACCACCTGCTGTCTTGATACTCAACATTAACTTAATATAAACTGGTCATTTTTAGGGCTGCAACCCAAGGAGTGATGATGGACTGAAACTGTCTCATCAAATGAAGGTAGGCTACAAGTAAATGTAGAGAGGTGATCTGCACTGGCACAAGTGTCTACTTGGACTCAGAGATCCACTTTTTAGATTTTGGTGGTCAAAGGTCAAGGTTACACTGATCTCACATTTGTTCCATTCTTTTGAACGCAATATGACAGGAGCACCTTGGGGAGTTTTTTTAAATTTGTTACAAATGTCCACTTGGTGACTTGGTGAAGTGATTAGATTTTGGTGGTCAAAGGTCAAGGTCAGTGCCCTTGTGTCTGTCCCATTCCCATTAATATTACTGGTTGGTGAAGACATACAACCACAAAGCAATAATTCTAGTTTGTTATTTTTCCCATTTGCTTGGTCACACAGTTGGAAAATGTTTGGATGTCCCTGATTTTCTTTTCCCTGTAAGACATAGGCTACATTTTTATTTCAGTCTATTATAAATTTGTAAGCCCTCTCCAAAATAGATTTTTAGTTTTAGCCCACTTCACATGTTTGACCCTGTGCAGAATATTTGTACAATAATACTAAAACAACACATCAATTAATCGATTGGTTCATTGTCATAAAATTATGCATTCATATCCAGTAAATTTTACTCATGCCATTTTATACATGGGGCCTATGCCTCACTACGTTTAAGAGAGAAATTTTGTATTTTTTCCCACTGCATTTATTTGACAGCAGCATTTACTAGTTACTTAGCGAATTAATATTGTAAATGCAAAACATATGAAAGAAAACTATGATACATTCTTATAGGATAATACTTTGTTTAAAAAACAATACTTTGTTTAAAAAACAAAAACAAAATTTAAATAAAAATTATTGACGGTGAACTCCACATACACATGAAAGCATAGAAACATTCTAGACAACAGTAAAGAAACAGGTGTATATATGCAAATAAATAATGAATAAAATTATTAATGCATATTAATAAAATATCTATACTACTAATACTATAATATCATTCATAATTAATACATTATTAAATATATTTAGTCCTATGGGTGAAACGGAGCAACACACGTAGCGAACGTAGGAACGGTAAACAAGTCTTGCACCTACTCGGACACTTGACTTTACGAACCCGGAAATGGGTGTATCGTTATTTTTAGTCCCCTGACTTTTCATCATGAAGGAAGCGAGTATGGCTTTCCCTGTGAGTATGGGGGCTCTGCTCCAGTCGAACCTCTTGGAGGACGCTGCTCACCGAGATGATGGGTTGTGTGTTGTCGGTATTTTCGGTAAAAGCAGCATGCAGCCCGGACCGTTGAAGGAGTCCCTTATCAACACACTGGCGGACAAACACATCTTCTCACTGTTCGGTGAACCGGAGGACAGCGGCACCGCAGACAGCAACATCCAGGCTTTCTACAGCCAGGAGAACCGGGTGCTCTACATTATGCGACAGCCGACAGCTACTGCGCGCCTGCCAGTCTCTGAGCGCCGACACCGGCCACTCCGAAGCTCACGACTTCTGGAAAGGCCTGGACAGGCAACACTGCCTCCACCTGCTCTACATGTTCTCCGTGTGCCATGTCCTCCTTCTCGTCCACCCCAACCAGACCTTCGATGTCACCTACGACCGTCTCTTCAGAGCCTTGGATGCCCTACGGCAGAAGGTCTTGCCTCTGATCCGAGCTGCCATCAAAGACTGTCCCGTGTCCAAAGAATGGAAGGTGAACTGTCGACCCTGCCCTCCACGCCTGCTCTTCGTCTTCCAGATGAATGGCACTCTGAAGGTCTTGTTTTTATTTAAGAAATAATATTCATTATCAAAGGTGATGTGCATGTTTCTCACCCCTTTTACAATGAAGTATAAAACTTAGAGTCATGCAGCTGAGCCCTTACCCCAGAGCATAGCCCCTGTGTGAGGTGACTACATTTTTATATCAAACGACCAGAAAGAAGCTCAGAAAAACTACTTGGATGTAAAACAACCACAAGAGACATTACTAGGGAGAGTCACAAAATGATCAAGAAGAGACAATACATTACCACAATGAGATGCAAAACATCCATATAATGACAGGGAACAACCACAGAGAAATACAAAGTTAAAAAAACTCAAATATATATCTGTGAGTACTCAGAAACTCCGTTATACAGACCAGACAATGAACTGGTGAATTAAAAAAATATGGGCAGATTTTTTTTTTTTAAATAAAAATTATTGTTAGTTGAAGCAGTTCAGCAAACAAGGGTCAGATGATATTCCTGTGTATTATCAGGCATGCTGTGTTGTCTGAACTTGTGCAGCCACGGAGTAGTTTTATGAGCTGTAAGTACTCTTTTAAGTTTTACATGAATTTAAAAAAAACCTCTTTTTTTTTTTTTTTGTTAATCCAAAGGTTTCGGCAAATGGCTCTGAGTCTGGAGCAAACCCTGACAAGCCCAAAAAGCACTCTCCCAGGAGGAGGCTGCAGCATGCCCTGGAGGACCAAATTTATCGCATCTTCCGTAAAAGCAGGGTCCTTACCAACCAAAGCAGCAATTGCTTGTTCACTGTGCCTGCCAACCAAGCATTTGTTTATGTGATACCAGCAGCAGATGAGGACCCTGTGGGTGCCTTGCTTGGTCAGTTGCGGTCCAACTGCATCTTGTGTGACCAAGACTCCACCACCTCAGTGTCAGGACCGAGGCGTTATCAGCAGATGCGACGCTCCGCTCGGCAGTCAAGCTGCAACAGAGACTCAGGCAGTACGTCAATGAGCAGTCAGCTGGTGGACTACAACTTGAAGGAATTCCTCTGGCAGCATGTGGAGCTAGTGCTGAACAAGAAAGGCTTTGACGACAGTGTAGGCCGCAACCCGCAGCCTTCGCACTTTGAGCTACCAACCTACTCCAAATGGGTCCAAGTTGCCTCCAAGCTCCACCAAGTCCTAATTAGCAACACAGATGAAGAAATGGTTGAGCTAGCCACAAAAGTCCAAAGCCAGCTGAAGGTTTTGGAGAGTTCTCTCGACGCTGACACAAAGTTCTCTGAGAACAGGTGTCAAAAAGCTCTGCCACTGGCTCACAGCGCTTACCAGTCCAACCTTCCCCATAATTACACCACTACGGTGCACAAAAACCAGCTGGTGCAGGCTGTTCGAGTGTACAGCCAACATGCTCGTGGTGTGGCTTTCCAGCGCTACAAACTGCAGCTTAATGAGGACTGCTACAAGTTCTGGAGCAATGGCCACCAGCTGTGTGAGGAGAGAAGCCTGACTGACCAACACTGTGTCCACAAGTTCCACCTGCTGCCTAAGCCAGGTGAACACACACTCCTACTTTAATCTGCTACACCTCATCTAGGTTAATGAGAACAGAAACACAGTAAACATAATATATAAGTTGTATAATAGAATAACCATCTGCATACTGGAATCTAACATTTAGTTTATTGTAAGGTTGATGTTTTAGTCAGCTTCGGGCACACGTGCACTAACTGAACACACGTTAGTGGGACACCGAACATCTTGATGTGTAACTGCTGGCATAATACAAAGTTACAAAAATATATAGAATGTTATATATGTGTTAATGTATATGCATGCATCTGTATATACAGTATTTGTATGGTGTATATTCCAGAGGCATTGGGATAACACCAATAACATCTACTCGTGAAATCTGTCACAAACTTCTCTAGGTGAGAAGCCAGACATGGATCGCAATCCACCCATCCTGAACCACAACAGTAGGGGGCGCTCCACCAGCTCCTGTAACTGTGGCAGGAAACAGGCCCCACGAGAGGATCCCTTTGACATCCAGGCTGCCAATTACGACTTCTACCAGGTCAGGCTTCACTCTGCACTATCCTTCTGAGGACCACAGCAGAGCAGCTTTTGTTGATGGCTGCGAAATATCACATGTGGAGCTCTGATTGTGCTAATCACACACATCCTGGTTAGTGTGTGGTCATTGCTGCTGCTGAGCTCTTAGTGCTGGGCTTTTTTTTGCACTGCACTTCATTGAGATCACCTGTCACCTGTCAGTCAGAGTGGCCAGTGCTGTATTTCCTCTTGATGAATTGTATCCCTGTAGGTGGAATTCCTTTCTTTGTCTGTACAGAGACACAGTAGATTAATTAGTAGATTAATTCTGTGAATCCAATACTGTCATGAAGGGTGGCCTGCTCATTTATTGGCAGCATTGCCCAGACTGACCTAATGCAACTGGAGACATTAAATGAAAGGCTCACATTTCTCAGGTCTTTTTAAAAACATTATGCACATGCCAGTATGTATGTATATTAGCCCAGTTAGTAGTCCTTGTAATCACTTCTGGCTTTAGAAAGAGCCCCTCTTAAACAGATTTCAATTTAAGTGCGCCCTTGTTCTGTGTAAAAATTAATTTTCAAGTTCACCTGAAGTTAATATGAGGTTTTGACTGAGTTTTTTGAATCAAATGGTTATCTTCCAAAGTTGCTAGCTTTTTATTCCACTGTTTTGGCATCATGTTGTCAGACTGTCCATCCATCCTTTTGGCCAATTCTCATGAACGCAAGTTCTTAGGAATGTCTTCAATGAATTTCACAAAATTTTGGCACAACTTGGATTCAAGGATGAACTGAAAGGTCAAGGTCACCATATCCTCACTTCTGTATCATTCCTCTGAAGCTGACTTGTTGGTGGAGTCATACAACCAATAGACTGTAATTCTGCTGAAGACTCGTATTAGCTTCAGCTGAATTATGGAATGAACTTCTGTTCAGAAACAGGACTGTGGATGTTGTCCACTATCACTTTCATTGAAATTATTTTAAAGAGGGATGTGTTTTGGCACCAATACAGAGGACAATTAAAAGACCAGTAGTGCTTTTAAGGTACAAATGGCCATGTGGGCGTTGTTTTAAGGTGTAAAACATGTGAAACTACCCTTTAAAGGGATAGCCACCTTAAGAACTACGTAAAAATGTGTAACAATGCACAAGAAATTGTGGAAAAAAGTGAAAGGCTATGAAGGGACTCTCACTGCATTGCCCCTCTCTATTTCAGATATCCACATCTTTGTTCCAAATACTTTCTAATCATTCTCCTCCTGAATAGATGCTAGAGGAGAAATGCTGTGGGAAGCTGGAGAGGATTGAGTTTCCAATGTTCCAGCCCAGCACTCCTGACCCAGCCCCAGCCTCCAACCAAGCTCAGCGACTTCCGTGTGAGGCCTCAGTGTCTGGTGATACAGAGAGGCTGAAGGAGCCAAGTACTGCCCAGAGCCATACACCTAGAGACACCAGCCTCAGCCTGGCTCTCAGTCTAGGCCATTCCACAGACAGCCTGGGCCCCTATGGGGAGGGAGATGGAACGGAAACCCAAGTCCAGCAAAAGAGGCCGAGCCTCATAGATCGCCAGCCCTCCACTGTGGAGTACCTCCCTGGTATGATGCACTCTGGCTGTCCAAAGGGCCTGCTACCTAAGTTCTCCAGTTGGTCACTGGTCAAACTAGGCCCAGCGAAGTCATACAACTGCCACACTGGTCTGGAACAACCAGGCTTCCTCCCTGGCTCCTCCTTCCTCTTGCCTTGGGACTTGGTGATCCGCTCTCGCTCAGAGGATGATACAGGACTGACGGAGCCTCTGAACGGAGGCACCTCCTCATGGCCAGCCCCCAACAAGTCACTGGTGGGAAAGAGAGGAAGCACTGGAGGGCTTGGTAGGGGTCGCAGGAGGGATGATATGGCTCGAGTCTTTGTCGGGTTTGAGTATGAAGACAGCAGGGGGAGACGCTTCATTAGCTCTGGGCCTGATAAAATAGTGAAGGTACTTGGGCCAGGGGGTGCCAAGGATCCTGCCAGCAGGGTTTTAAACACTGACATGCCACTGTACATCCCTTCTCCTTCGCAAGGCCGTGGCCTGAAGCCTCACTTTGCCCAGCTGGCTCGGCTTTTCATTGTGGTACCTGATGCCCCACTAGAAGTAACCCTCAACCCACAGGTACTCTGCTTCTATTACTGCTTTGCAAAATCTATTGTTGTTGAATTTTTTTATGAGCTGGTCAGAGTTTTGTCTTAAAACCATTTAAGCAGAAATTTGCTAAATTGTCAGCACATTTACTAGTTAAATATTGGCATCTCAAACTTTTAGCAGTGATATGGTTCTAGTTTAGATGTGCTGTAAAAATCGTATGGGAACAGGTTTTGTTCTTATTTTGCATCCATCTGTTGTGCCACATTAAGTGGTGGTTGCTGATGTGATGCAGAAATCACTGCCAATAAAAACACATCACATACACTAAATTAAGTATGTAACACTAAATTTGACTGGCCTCTATATAAGCTGAGCCCCTCATGTAAAAAAAAAGTCTGCCACTTTATAAATAAATGTATTTTTAATAAAAACGTAGTGTTGATCCTCACAATATTGCGTTTTCTGACGTTTTCAGGTACAGCCTGGCTCTCCTCCCTGCCCAGTTTTCCATCCAGAGCAGACAGATTTAGTGTTGCCACCTGATGGTCTTTGGGTGCTGAGGTTCCCTTATTCTTATGCAACAGACCACGGCCCCTGTTACCCCCCCAAAGAAAACCAACCCCTCAACAACTACAAGGTGCTGCGAGGCATCCTGAGAGCCACCACTGCTAACCCTCAACCACAATGAACTTAAACCAAATATTAAGACCTTCCCAGACCCAGATTTATTTATTTATTTACACCTCCTCATATAGGATGAGTAAATTTAGTTTTCTCCCCGGATGTTCATATTCCCCTGTTGATTTTGACGACCTCATGACCTTTCTTCAGAGCACAAGTTAGACAAACTTACTGAATACCCCCATGCTCCCAGAGGAATAACCCACTTGGAACAGTTATGGCCTTCTCATAATTTTGATTATTTGACCTTGTTTTAGTCCTGTGTCCTGCAGTCATGTGTCCCACTTTGTATATGTTGTTTTCACTTCTTACAGGGTGAAGATTGAAAACTAATGCCAGCAACAGAACTAAGTTACCATTAAAGCATCACGTCTCAGTAATTAGGCTGAACTAAAGTGTATTCTGCTTCATATACAGTATCTGAATAGTAACTCACACATCATTGGTCCACTGGCGTGAAAGCAGTTGCAACATTGATTACTGTTTACATGTCTAGATAAACACAGACAAAACCGTGAGTATGAGTAGAACATGTTTGTGTGTAAATAAAAATAACTTCGGCATCCTGTGTCAGATTTTTATAATGGTATGAGTGAGAGATATACTGTATCTGCTCAGTGTTGAGGTAAACACCAGTAGGAATAAACTCTAATTTGTTATATATGCTCATACATGTACATATATATATTTGCATTATTATATGTATTATGATTATTATTACCCAGATGTTGACCCCTCTGACTCTGAGCTATACCTAAAATCAGCTTTAAAAAAGAGAAGTTGTAGTTTTTAATGCAATATGCATTGCATTAAACTTTATGTTCACTAGGTGGCGTTAGGCTCCTTCATATTGGTTAAACCAGCTCCTCATCCATTGGTGGAGACAACCCCTTCACAAGGGAAGGCTTAGGTTAAACCTGTTTCCCAACAGAGAGATGGGTTATATTGGACTGAGAACGTGTTTACAATTCAGTGCAGTTCATTAGTTTGCCACACTTGCAAGGACTCACTGTGTTCCTTAGCACTGGCTTAGTTATGCTGGCTTCTTGTCAAATTTATGATTTCATTCAAAATCCTTCTAATTAATTACAAATCTGCACATAATTTGGCATATCTTTGGGAAGCTCCCTTCAGAGCCACATAACATATTATGCAAATGTTCTCACAGGCTGTGTAGTAAACAATGTCAACTGCACCCACAAAAACTGTTGATATAGTAACCATTTTATGAACACACTCAACTGGTGTTAATATTTTTAATAATGAACCTTAATTTCATTAACCAGACAGCAAAATTATGCCAAGTCATAGCACCTTCACTAGGTCACTATAGTCTGTTGCTGTTCTCAGTTACTTTGCAGTGCCTTACATCCCTTATGGGAAAGTAGGAAGCTGTTGTGTTCATCTTGTTATAACTGTCCTTCCTTCTTGTGTCTGTAGTAGCATCTTTCATTTGTGATGTGAATGTGATATCAGTTTAAGACCAACAGGCTCAGAGAGCGTTACTGCTGGAGACAAATCACTGTGTAAGTATGCTTTCTTATTTCTGTCTCTCAGTTTTGTCTGTATTTTTGCATTACTGAACACACTGTTACTGTGGATTTTGTAAAGGACACCTAAGGAATAAGGAAATCAAATCAAATCAAAATCAAATTTTATTTGTATAGCGCCAAATCACAACAAAAGTCATCTCAGGACACTTTACAAAGTAAGGTCTAGA